GCTTTCGATTCCAGCATCGGTGAACCGATGGCGTCGTTTCGCTCCTCTCGACTGAAAATTAAGTTGAAGGTTGAAAACGTATGCGCGCGTATATCCGGTGCGTACGTTTAAGGTCAATGCACGCCTCGATATTCGGTGGAGAACGTAGAACCCGAGGGACTGAGGGACTCATTGACAGCGTAAAACGCGATGCGCGATAACGGTGTCGGTGTCAAATTCACGACATTCCGTAGCTGTCATCGCGGTACGCATTTGATCCGCGCCTACTGTTAGTTGTTACGAGCGCGTTTAGAAGGATCTAGTACCGTTACGCGACACGCTCGAAAACGAGAGAGAGCCGTCCGTTGCTCCGCTCTCGGCTCCGCTCTCGGCTCCGTTTAACTTGCGTTAAACGCACGATAAGGTGCCGCACCGCGCCGGAGCGAGGAAAACAAAAACTGACAGCGCGTTGCTCGCTTTCGCGAAACGTAAAAGGCGAAGGGAGAAGGAAAGAAAGAAAGCAAAAACTAACTCACCGAGAATCGCCTGGAGGGTCTGCTCATCCCCGTCCCCGATGACGTCCATGCCTCCGTCGTCGTCGATGGACGCCCGCCACGGAACCCGCGTCCCTCGTCGCCGTCGCCGTCGCCGCCGCCGCCGCAACCGACCTGATCCTGCGCGAACTCGCTCCACCTCCTCTCCTCCTTCGCTCGGAGATCTCTTCGCGTACAAAGTATAAACTCCGCTCGCTGCTTGCCTTGTTCTCGCTTCTCTCTCACGCACTACTTCCTCGCGCTCGCGCGCGATTCGCACGGACGATCGGCTTATATGCCAAATACCAACTATGGATATCGCGGCACCATCGCGCGCGCGTCTCGGATGTACGCGATATCGGTTTCGCGCAGTTTCGCGGGTCCAGATGAAAACGCGCACACGCGCGGCACACGAATACGACGCGCGCGTTCCGCTTTTACTCGCGGGAACGCGTACCGCGAATAACGAGTATAACGACGACGAGATAGTCAGATAGCGAGCTGTACCACTGCCGTCGTCGTCGCCGTCGCTGCCGCTGCCGCTGCCACTACTCCTGCAGCCTGCTGCGCCAGTACGGAGCTATTCCGCGAGTCGCCCGTGTCGCGGACTCTAAATCCGTGCCCGCACACACACACACACACACGCACGCATCACTCTCTTTCACTGCTTTGTACGTATTCCATGAGTCACAGGGCCGGAGTCTTTTGCGGAATTTCCATACCAAGTGGATTTATGTAAAAAAGAAAACTTCTATAACAAACGAAGTTTCATTGTTAAATAACGATACGGTTCGTTTTGAAATATAAACTTTTTTCCGTGTCTTTTTTATAAGTATTATCTTTCTTCTTTTAGCTGGATGAGATCTTACAGTTTGTCGAGATGGTAAAATTATTTCTGCAACTTGTAATAAGTGTTTAAAATCTTCCAACAATTTTAATTCTCCGCGCGTACAATTATTTTTTCTTTTTACAATAATTTAACTTTTTTGATACCATAAAGATATATTATATACATATATTACAATTGGATGAAACGTATATAATAAGATGCACAATTAAATCAAAATTATTAAAATTATTTATGATAACGTAAAATAAAAGTTATGAAATTTGTGCTAAATATCGATAGTTTTACATAAAGTTACTTTATAATTATTATTTCGTATAAACACAAAAATAAAAATGTTTCTCCAACAAAAATATTTTACACGAATTCTCTCAGCTCTATATAAAATAATTCCAAAAATTAATGGAACCTGCATACTTTTTATTCGCTGTGAATTTCGTTTAAATCGTAATAAAAATGCCAAGTTTACGGAGGACAGTATTATCTATAGTATACAAAAACGTTGTTCGAGTCCACCGAGGTTTGTAATCGTAGCGCATGCTTATTTATCTTCCAAGAATGTTTCACCGGCTCGCTAAGAATGAGAGTGAAACAAAAGCAGAGCCGAACAAGATGGAGTAACTTTTAATAACATTTTTTTTACTACAGATGACGAGACTCGAGGTAGGAAAGAAGAACAAGTCGCGATCTCTTTCAGTCGAGGTGTAAAACGACGTAACTGAGAATCTATTACTTTCCACAACAATTCACTGCTTGTCGAAATTCTTAGAACCGTGAGGTCCGGTTATCGCTGATAAAACATCGTCCGTAGGTGAAGACAGCCCTGCGAGGCAGCGCTCGATCACGTGATCGAGCATAGTCTCGTTCGAACGGCCGCGCGCGAGCGTCAATCGTTCGTACGAAGTGGAATCGCGTGGTCCGTTTACGAGAATTCGACGCTATTGTCATCGAGATTGTTTGAGACTTCAGCGAAGGGTCGAATGGAGCGCGCGCGTGAAAAGTCCCGGTCACGACGATGCGTGTTGCGTCTAACGCGAGTGCGGAAATGTGGGTACGAGATACCGCGTTTTTCACGAAGCAAGATGGCTACAATCTGCAGGATAAAACTACTCCACGCTGTGCTGCGCCGACTTGGACGAGTGCTGATCGACGGCGGCGATTCTTATACCTACCACTTCCGATGGATGTAAAGATTACTTCGAGAACTTCCTGTCGGTGAGTACGAGATATAAAATTGTATTAACCTGTACTGACTATCACGTACGTGTTATTTTGAAACAATGATGCAATCTGTGCCGTTTTACATTTTCGAATTTTGTTTCGAGCCTAATCTACAATGTGCTCTTTGCTTCCTGTTTCTTGCTTTTTTTCTCTTTGCGGTCGTTTTATCGTGTCCGTTGTCTCTTTTGAAGTTCGTCATCTCAACTTTTATCTCAGGCGATGAAAAACGAAGGACTTATACAAGATAAGAGGCAAAAAAGTAAGAGGTAAAAATAAGTGGTGAGAAGCAAAAAATAGAAAGCAAAGAGCACATTATAGTTTAGACTTTAAACATTTCGATCCTTCAGTCACGGTAAAACCGGTTTTCGAAATTTTCAAAATGAGATGCTGATATATCGCATCAATCACAATGACGACGTATTTCGGAGTATTCGGAATGTATTCCTATTTTAAACTATATAAAACGACACGATAAACGACGTACAGATGTCGTAAACTACTTGCAAAAAATTTGAATTGCTAAATTATTAAAAAATTGGCTTGTTTTTTAAATGTCGAGTTGTCAACCAAAATGAGTTTTAAATAATTCCTTTTAATTAATTTTTACTTTAGTTGATGTTTGTCTCTAAAGCATTAAGATATTATAGCAAGTTTTTTTTCTGTTTGACAGTTTCAAAGAAATACGCTAATACAATATATTTTCGATGCACATCGTAAATGTAATTGCAGCGATAAACTAGGAAAATTATGAAGGTGTCGAAAGTACATGCATCTATGTGTTTATGTTGTGTGTGTAGACACTATAAACATTTATTACACCATGTAAGTACAATTGAACACCAAGGGGTTGCTAAATTATTATTATTACTTTTACCATTTATCATTGTTATTTATCATTGTTACATTATTATTGTTATCGTTTATTATCATTGCCTATTAATACATTTATACCAAATATTGTTTGTGACTTCACTCGTTCATAAATAATATACTTTGTCTCTTTTAAACAAATACATACTCTCTTAAATACATAATTTCTCTCTCTCTCTCTCTCTCTCTCTCTCTCTCTCTGTACAATCTATATACACATAATATGCTCACATATATGTACTTGTATGCTCTATACGCGCGTATGCATAAATATACGTATGTTTTTCGGAGGCATTAAATCGATAATACAAACGAATAATAAGCGATAATTGTGCGGATATATGCATGTATATCGAGGGATTTCATCGCTTTCTTTACTAGCACACGTATGAAACTGCACTACGTCTTTGTGTCCACGCGAAAGCCAGATCCTACATCTCGTTCCGCTTAATTGTTAGATTTTCGTTTATCTAGGACTAAATCGAGACACTCGAACTGGACCTTGTAATTAAAACGAGCGCTGACATGTCGCTGCGCGTGTCTTAGCGCGAGACATTATACCGTGTCTCCTGATTAGTCAGTATCGGTAAGTAACACCTCAAAATACATGTAATACATCGTGACGTATACGTCGCGAATTTCAAGATTATTTCACACTATCGAGAATTTTAGCACATATATCAATTATTATTCTACTATCTATTAAATAGTCTAAAAATGTTAGCGGCCAAAAAAGATTAATTGCATTTAATCAATTAACGAAACGTTAACGCTGTTTATTGTCATGTAAATTTGCGATAATAATTCAAATACAAGTTGATTCGAATTTTTTTCGTATTAATTCACTTACCTATTAAAATCGAAAAATGCATTATTGTGGTTGGATATTAATTTTCATTTAAAATATCGTTACGTGAAGACATTTACATTTCCAAAGTTAAATTTACATTTCCGATTTTTACATAACTATCGACTGATATTGTATACAATATTCAGATTCTTTATATATTATATAATTTATAATTGAGATAAACACAAAATAAATATTTTTCTAGGTAAAACAACACAAAAATTATATTATTATATAAATTAGTTTCTTTATAATATTGTATAATATCTTTTAAAATAAAATATAAATTTACTTTTAACTGCTAAAATTCCTTTATTATTAAGTTGAATTTGAATATAAATAATACATATATTAAATCAGTTTCAATTTGATAAATAAACGAGTAAAATTGTTAGAGAGAGCGAATATACTTGTGTATATTTTCTATAACAGCATAGTTCAATATAATTGAGAATATTAGTTGTTAATTGGATACATATAGGTATATTCGCTACAACTACGTTGCATTTGGCTCGTATTTGTCTATCAAATTGACTCTTATTCAGATTTTTTTTATCAAGCCATTGTCTCTTTCTATTTTTCTTTTAAATCATATTGCACTATTCGTATTCAGTCTTACGATTAGTCAGCTAAATAAAAGCAAAAATCATGAAGACTTAAAAATCAAGTAGGAACTAATATGAAACAATATCTAGTCGATTTGGGTCCCATAAATTAGTTCTTGTTATAACAATTATTCTCATGTGTTGCGTATCACCGATATACAGGATGTATACTAAATATGCTAAAAGATTTTAAGAGGTGATTCCTCACACTTTAAAACGAAAATTTCATATGACCATTTGCCCGAAACGGCTTAATTTTGGAGATACAGAATGACAAAGTGAAATGAAAAATTTCGCATTTAAGTTATTTTGATAAAACTTTAAACATATACAAAGTTTCATCAAAATTAGTCGAGTGGTTTTGAAAACTTTTAGAAAAAACGAAATTTTTCTTTCAACTTTGATAACCTGTATCTTTGAAACTAAGCCGTTTCGAATATATCGTCATATGAAGTTTTTGTCTTGAATTTGTATGAAGAATCATCCCTTGTAAAATCTTTTATCGTATTTATTGTTAGTATATATCCTGTATAGTCACGAAACTAATTGTCTGGACAGTGCGAACAATTATCGATAATTTCTTCAAATCGTTGTCCGAGGGTTAAAAATTATTTTACGCATGCATTACGCCATTGATAGTTCACATTTATAATTGGACAACTAATTGTGAAACTACCAGTGCCGTAATGCGTACCGTAATGCGTGGAACAACTTTTAACCATCAACTTTTGATCAACTTCCCCCCCCCCAACAGAAAAAGTTTGAAAAAAATCATCAATATAATGGCGGATTGTCCAGATAATTAATTTCATGATTGTACGTATAATATAAATACACGTATGTATACATATATATATATATGTATATGCTGTATATATGTATATATACACATACGTATCATGTTACATTTAGCTCACATTTAACGTTATATATCATTAAAGTAATTACCATTAACTTTAGCTCTTACACGCTAGGACAATTTAATAAATTTTGTCATGTATCATGTATCTACTCTATCGCGAAACGTGATAATAGCGAAGAATATCGTACATTAGTATCGGTTATATTAATACGCGCGAAACCGTTTCTACACATTTTTGTATTTAAAATTTTATTGAAACTTATAAACTATTTCCTAACACACGAGGAATGTGTGGATAATTAAATCCCAAGTTTAGTGTCTGATCTTTAGATATAAATTTTACGATACGAATCGCGAATATATTATCGCCGTATTTAGAGATTATTTCTAATTCATATTATATTTCATATTCATACTATATATTCATAACTTATATAAAATAATATAATATTAATTTTTAAGCGTACGTGCCGCACGATTCATATCGCGCGTTATTATAAACATAAATATTCTTTTTATTAAGCTATTTGTGATATCTCAGTTTTAAAAAGCACCTGCTTATAGAAAATGCACTCCGACGGTGAACCCTTTTTTTTTTACCTCTTGAGCTCTGTGATGATTGATATCAATTGTCAACGATTTGTCATGGCAGTAGAAAATGGCAGCTTATTAAACGAGTTTGAACTCGTTGAAATATTGAGATAAAAATGAGAGCGTCGGTTCACAGGCTGACATTGAGATTCATTAGAAATTTATGTTTTTTTGCGGTAAGCATATAGCCCTGCGCGAAGTGACATTCTCTTAGGCAATAATAAAGCCCCGTTTCACGAAAGAATAAGCGAAAGAAATATTTATAGTAATAGTAGTAATACGTTCATTCTCAGTCGCTCGAAGTCGACGGTTTGCTTTCCAATGTCTGCTCGAAAAGATAAAGTGCTCTATGAATAAATTCATATTGTTCCGCCGTTTGTACCATCCCTCCCCTGTCGTATCTAAAATATTAAGAATATTTGTATTTATAAAATCTACATTAAATTACATACGTACATATTTAAAACTTATTGCTTTACCTCATCTGGCACAAAATACCCAATATATCGACATTTCCGTCTCTTATAAGTTGATTCATTCCTATTCCTATCGCTATAAAACAACCGGTTCGTCCTATACCCGCGCTGCAGTGAACGACCACTGGTTTTGGCGAAGCATTTACCTCCGCGGCCATACTAACAAGCGCATCTGCAGTTTGAGGTACAGCATGGTCCGGCCATGAATCATACCTGTTGATACATTTTAGAATTTAATATATAAATTTCTCTAAAAATATATTTATATATATATATAAATCTCCATAGTTCTGACGGTATATCCGTTTCTCGTATCGATATAGTTAACGATAACTGTGAAAGATCCAGCTTGTAAGCGATTATTTACGTCAAAGGGAAAATACGCTTCGCACTTTGGTTTGGACACTTCGTACAATCTAGTTATCATGACGATTGCAGGAACTTTTTCTGCCCAGATCATTTTCCAGAAGTCTGCTATCGTGTTAGCTAATGGTCCCTGTGTCGCGATGTATCTAGCATTTTCGCCATCGTATCCCTGTAAATTTTGTTTTCTATTGTAGTTTTTAATTCGTGCAATTTTTGATGATAAAACGTGCTTACGTATCATCATATCAAATAAGTTTTCTCAGGCATCATTTTATACAATTTTACACAAAATTACTATTTACATACCCGGATGTAGTTAGCGTTTATGTAACCAGCGAGCGGATCGTCGGAGGAACCTGGTAGAATCACTCTCGTTTGTAGATTGGGCAAAACAGAGCTGTATCGATTCTTCACTCCCGAGCCACAAATATCCACCTTTTCCGGTAGATTTAGTGGTACCTCCCAAAATTCTTTGTGTAATGTTCCCGTACTTTCGATAACTTTTTTCAATTGTGCTCTCGATAATACATTTCCTGCACTTAGCAAAAACTCTTCCGTTGTACATTCTCGAGTAGGAGTAACCATATGTGGCGGACTTTCAGGAGCTGGTGCCAGTTCTATGGTTAAACTTGTGCTCGAACCACGTCTTTCCAACAATCCTTTTGCTTTCATACGTATCGCTTCCGGTTTACGTTCGGGCGTTGCCAGAGACTTTTAACAACATAATACGAAGGTTATTTTCAATACGATTATTTAATATTTGTGTGAGAATAACGTTGGTAGCAGGTAGACTCTCTTACCTCGGGTAAAGAGGTCTGTGGAATTGGTCGTACTGGGTACTTGGGTGCAGATTGCTTCGCGAATGCTTCGTGAACCCATTTAGCTTCCACGGATTCTTTTGCATCTTTAGTTGATTTGTCTGGCTTACAAGTGGCACCTTCCTCGACCAGACCGTGTCGATCGCCATTTTCGTTATCTTTTTCACGCGACATTTGTTTTCGCAGCCATAACAAGATCTGTTGGAAAGTTGTAGTTATTATTATACAAACCTATTACACAGTATCTAATTCAATGATTCAATGGTAAAACCAATCGGTTTTCACATATCTATAAAGCTTTTGTCATTTGTTTTTGAAAAGAAGATGTGATGCTTACTAGGAATGTAAAAAGAATAGTGCCAGCGATTGCACAAAGCGCTACAAAGTAAGGCAAATGCCAATCTAGCCATGATAGAGTCGTCCTGGAATGTACTTCCTTGTCTGTCTGACTATTGAGTTGGGCCACTTGGAGATCCATTCCAGCATCATCCAGTCCTGTCACGGACTGCCGGATTCTGTATTAAAAATACTTTGAGATAAAGAGTAAATCTTAATATTTTGTGAAACATTACCGGAATACGATTACGGCTGGTACTGTGAATTTTTACACGACACATAAGCATTACCTGTGATGGGATCTCATAGGCATTCCCTTCGTAGAGGGCAATAAGGAGATTGGCACTAGTGTATCCTTATGCCACTTTTGTTCAGTGATTAGATAAAATTTTTCCAGAGGATTTATATTATCACTATTGTTGATTGTTGCATCATAATAATTAACATCATTTGCATGATGATGAGTCAAGGAAACACTTGTACCATCTATAATAAAAATAATAATAAAATTGCATACACAGACTAGAAGCTTTACGATATTGTGAAGCATCGTAAATATTGTACGAAAATTTTTTTCCTCGTATATAATTAAATTTTATCATTTTATCAAACATTTTGTTTAACAAAAATTTAACGTATAACTTTAACCATAATAAATATAACGCAATTTCAGCGAATAGATAACGTTGAACGAAAGAGAGAACTTATTTTACTTTATGAACAAGAAGTAAAAATAACTTGTTATTTCTGATAACGAACGATAAAAAGAGAATTGCAAAAGCAGGGGAAAAAATAAAAAATAGGATAGCGACGTAAAATTGTCCATTTGCCATTTGTCAGCCATGAATTGCAATATGCGTACATACATAAACGATACGCACGCACGCACACACGCACGTACACAGTCAGCTCGCGTCATACACTATCCCGAAGTCGGAGCATCGTGAATAAATCACATCCTGTTTTCTCATTGATGTAATAATAGCAAGCGGATATGTAGAGTATTTGCTAGCGAATGAGCGAACGAGTGAGCGAAAGAGAAGGATTGCTTTTCACACTGATGTTTGATCGATACCTTTCGTCAGCAGCATATACAACAATATATCAAGCGGCGTATTGACGTGTGATTTACGGGCACGATGCTCCGAGAATGGGGGCTGTGTGTACGGCGATACGGCCATATTGCGGCGGAGTCGAAGCGAAGCCAGGCAAACTCCTTGTCGGAACTAGCCGAGAGCCGAGAGACGCTGCTCCGTTGCATATGTCTTGACCTGGAGCTTTGGTTCTATTCATAGTGTTTCGCGATCGTTTCGCATTCCTCTCGTTCTCTCGCATAGTACGTCGGGAGTAAGCGCCGGCCAATCGAGACGGCGGCGGTCTCGTCGGCCCATTGGCGCCGGCCAACCGCGGTGTGAATGTAAACGCTTGTACCGTGTTATTCATAGGTGGGAGTTGGCGTGAATGAAAGCGGAGCACGTGCGATTAATGACGGTGAGGTTGCATTCGGGATTCGTCGGGAACGGGTTTCATTCGATATGCAGCGGACGCTGCTTCTTTTCCAAATAACTCGTTTGAAAAAGCAAAATCCTCTGCGTGCGATCACTGTTACGACGAAAAGAAACCAGAAGCGGATTGAATTGTCCCACAAATTGTCTCATCGGATTAAATGAATTACAGTCCTTCCTCAACTTGTCGTAATACCGTGGCTGATTCATTTAATCTCTTCACACGAATATCCAATTGGTTGCTCTCAAAAAGATGTTTTAAATTAAGATTGCCTTCTGAAGCTCTCGGTCCCATTCGATTATAATAATTACAATTTTAGATATTTATTACTTCAAAAATTGCAGACTTCTTCCTGAAATCGCTATATGTATATTTCCCCTTATTTTTTGTTAACTACAATTTATTAACTGAAATTTTCAAGTATTCGCGCTAGTTTCTCCGTTGATCTCAACGATAGATAAACAGCCACAAATATCTTCCTAAACATCTTACGTACGTATTCTTCTCAAGAATATAGCGATGATTCACGAAACCGGATGTTCATATTTGCCGTTTACACTCAAGCATATCACATTCCACTAGAAATCCGCATTATTTGTGTTTTATACCTTTCTTTTTGTATACCTTTTTAACATCTTTAGTTCGATTTCGTAGTACGATAAAATCAGATAATAACTTTATATAATTTTCAATTTTATATATTGTATCGATTCTTTTTTTAGTAAATAACAAATCTTGATACTTTTTACTTACTGTCTACAGTACGATAATGGCAAGCGGCAATCATTGTAGTAGCTAAAAATCAATAAGCACACCTGCACTGAATGTTCGACTTCGCGTGTCTCGATTTCACACTAACGTAAATAAATTACTCTGTCGTTTCAAGATTGAGAAACATGTTTTAAGACTTATCGAAAAATTAGAAGTGATATATCATATGGCTATTGAGAAAAATCTCTTCTTCAAACTCACGCGTTTGTGATTTATATTGTAAGACGCAAGAAAAAAAATTTTCTAAACACGAAAATTGGGAAAATCTAGTATACTGTATCGTATTCTTAAACGATGAAAAAGCTTGGACGAATGTTAGAGTAGCTCTCGCGCTGCTAACTGAATTGATCCCCATTCATCCTTCCACAGGAAGCTTACGAGTTTTCGCATAGAGCGCACGCACTCGGGGATCGATACACGCACTTGCGTAAAATTATACGTTACAATGATTGATCGAAGAAAGGAACTCAAATATTATATATGGATAATTATAATTTGATTGTTTTTTTTCATAAATTTCTTTAACAATTAAATAATAAAAATTTTTGAATTTAAAAATTTTGTATCGAAAAATATCGATAAGATTAATATTTAGCGAATAAATATAAAAGATATAAATAAGGTCTTGGTAAAAAGTAGTGTCTTTTCATTGAGAAAAATAATTTTGCTATGAACGCAAAGGCATTGCAAAATTTAATTGTCAAATTTGTTTGTTTGTATCAAATAAATTTGCATATTTGATCAAGATTTTGCACTTGTTGCAAATAATTTGCTATCTCTACATTTGCAAATGGAATTTGCCGTTATGACATAGGATTAGTGTTTATCAAATTTTTTCTTTCCGTGTTTATTTTTTGATAAATGGCTCTTTATCTCTCTCTCTCTCTCTCTCTCTCTCTCTCTCTCTCTCTCTACTTTTTTCTTATTCCTCATTATTATTGCTGTTTTACTTTTTACTATTTTATATATTTTTTCTTTTTCTATTGTACTTTATTTTTCGTTAATGTTCTCAATTACAAGGCTTGATCTAGAAATGAATGCTTTTATCTATTTATCTCTCTATTTCTATGAATGTTTTGGAGTGAATTATTTATTATGAGAAGAATACACGCGAAAAAAATACCATCGAATCGATTCTTAGATTTTAAAGTTTGTAATATTTTGTCGTAACTTATATAATATAAGAATCAAATTATTTAATTCATTGTATGTACAATCGTAGAACAGAATAGTCCCTCGTAAAGTCGCAACATATATTACTATTAGACATAAGTCTATTGATTCAAAAACTATATCTGTGCTTATGAACATGTATTCAATATATTTGTAAACTATCGAATACATTTCGCATTAGCCATAATTGATAGATTACTCGATCCATTTAAGTCTCGTCGTCTAATTCATATTAAAATATAAACATATAACGAAGTTTAGTTATTTTCCTTTAACAAGAATAGAATTCAATCGTTTAATTTTTGTAAGAAAGAGCCGATAATCGTATTATTTTTTTCAAAGAGCTGATAATTATATTATTTTCGACGCAGTGTATAATAACGATATTGCACTTTTACTGATAACACATTGAGATGATAACGTCGAAGAAACACACATACATTCGCATTTGCATTGATCATATACCTTGCCGAGGCGAGTGAGAAGAAGGTCCTTCTCTTCCTTTCGAGATGGTCTGTTACGTCTCGTTAAGACGTTATCGTGATAGACAGCATCACCCTGCGCACATTGACATCGTGGCAGACGATAAGATACGATACGTAGCTCCGCAGATAAATTTCGCGACTGCGACGGATCGGACTCGCGTCGAACGCATCTGAATGGCGTCTGAACAGATTGCAAAATGACGGCCAACTGCATTCACCTCTTTCGCGTTGACCGCGAAGGGGTAGCGAGGGGATGGAGTGCAGCAGACGCGCGCATTCGTGACACGGATACGATTCACTGAGCCACCCTTCCCTCTGTAACGGTACGTGGCCTCGCCCCTTGTATGTATGTACGTACCATCGCTGCATCCAACGATACCCTTCATGAACGACGGTGATACGATTCATCGGGAAAAATTTTATCACTAAATCACTGCCCTACCGAATCTTCTTCGAGATCGTTAAAACTATTGAATTGTGTTGCAATATTGATTTAATCTCGTTTATTTGAGATGTTTATGATTTAAAGTTTCACAGTGGAAGTTTATATCAATTTATTTCAATTGAGAAATCCATATTTATCACGAAATTTAACTCTAGAAATTGAATAAAATGCCTCACATACATTCACAATTCCAGCATTGATTCGCCTTCCCTTTCTATGTTTCCAACTCGTTCAATCGTCTCAATCCCCGTTCAACGAGAAGTAGTATTTTCGTAGCAATAATCGCTCTATATTGCAATAATTGTAATCAGAGATATAAATTTGTGTATTTATTATTATGTATATTAATTTTCTGTTTTATAGCTTAAATGAGTGGTATTTAATCTTTTCTCCACTTAATATTTTCTCTATTATTTATGATATTTATTACTCCTTTTTACATATTCGTTATATATCTCTATTTTTTTCAAACGTCCACCGAAACACAATCGCAAGAGAAGAGGAAGCAAAAAGAGAACGATAGAGGGTGGCAAGGTTAAGTAAGAGCAAAGAGGAGGGAGCGTTGAATGAGAACTTCTAGGTCGTTGAGAGGGTATGGAGAGAGGGAGATAAATCGGCCTTCGTAACTCGGAAGGGTGAAGAAAAGAGACAGAATGTAGGCTAGTCTCGTTGGCGAACAGCGTCCCCAATCGATACTTACGCAGCAAACTTCTACGCCCTCTCGTTCTGTTAATCTTTCATTTTATTACATTTTATTATAGTTAACTAATAAATACGTAATTTCACAAACGAACCAACGACAGAGATAGAGAAAGAAAGAATCAAAATGCATTCACACTTTCTTATTTACATTTTTTGTTACAATTAATGAAAATAATTAGAATTGAATACGTATTCCTAACTATTTATATTAGATAATTTGTGGACATGATAATGACATTAATCTTGTACACGTGACAGATTTAACGATAATTATATGCAAAATGTATTCGAAGTTGTTACTTTCTTAATAAGAAACGTTTAAATATATTGATGGAATTATACAATGTCAATTTTCAATTTAGTCTTTATTTGTACTTTCCATTTTTTTATATTTTTATTAATGACACTCGATATCGATATTTTTATTTTTGCAACACATGGTAATAATCGAACGTAATCATTCGTAACAGTTTATTTAATCAAATCCAATGATTGCACATGAGAAAGCTTAGCTTTAGTAATATTCTTGGACATTTACTTTTCACAAAAATCACATTTTATGTAGTAATATCATTTAGTATATAATTTTTACTATATATAATTTTTACTATATACGTAAAACTTATTTAATAGAGAAAAATAAAATATCATAAACAAAGACGCGAAAGGTGTAATTTTCCAAGTGTCGCTTGTAGAAGCCTTTTACTCCGTTTTGTTGAAGAATAGATGTTTTTTTCTACATCTCAAGATATTAAAAAATCGTAGACAGCTACGTCATATCCGGTAGCCGAGCTATAAAAAAAACAATAGTTTTCGATATACGTTTCATTTAAGCGAATAATCAATGATTTACAAAGAAAAACTTGAAACATAGTAACAGTCGTAATGGTGAAATAAGTGAAAAGAAAACTTTGTCTACGAGTCTCAATTTACGTATCTAATTTGTATTTTTTAACATTAATGAGACATTTTATGCTACATTTATTCTTTCATTATACTTATGTATATTAATGATTCGTAATTAATATATCTTTACAATTTTTTTTGCTATAAATAAAATGTCATCTCACACATTATTTTTTAACAACAGATTCTTTGATAATCAATTGTCTCTCAGCGAAAATATCGGGATAAATTATTATTTATTAGATTTTTCCAATTATACTATCTTTGTAACAGAATATAAAATTAAAATTTTATTAAAGATGTTTTGACTGTACAATA